CGTCATTATTGTTCCCATCAGACGTCATCATTGTTTCCCATCTTACGTCATTATTGTTCCCATCAGACGTCATCATTGTTTCCCATCTGACGTCATTATTGCCTCCCATCTGAAGTCATCATTGTTCTCCATCTGACGTAATTATTGTTCCCCATCTGACGTCATTATTGCCTCCCNAGTCATCATTGTTCTCCATCTGACGTAATTATTGTTCCCCATCTGACGTCATTATTGCCTCCCATCTGAAGTCATCATTGTTCTCCATCTGACGTTCTAGTTATTCCCGATCTGAAGTAATCATGATTTTCCATCTAACTTCATCGTTGCCCCCCATCTGACGTCAGCATTGTCCCCCATCTGAATTCATCATTATTCCCCATCTGACATAATTATTTTTTGACACCTGACGTCATCATTGTTCGCCATCTGACGTCATCATTGTTCCCCATCTGACGTCATATTTGTTCCCATCTGAAGTCATTATTGTTCCCCATCTGAAGTCGATCATTATTGTTGTACATCTGACTTCATCATTGTTGCCCATCTCTTCTTTTTCTTCCCTTCAACACTGCAGTTCCCTTCTTGAGTAAGAGAGCCCGAGTGACGTGCGCCTTGTTTATCAATGATTAATTAACATTATAATTGGTTGATTGTTTTTTTAGTTTTTGAATTTTCTGAGGAATTTTCTCAAGCAAGGACCTAATAGTGAATACGGAGAGTATTGCCTGAAACGCCTACAACGAACACTAGAGGTCGGCAACAGAAAGCTTGCACCAAACTTCATTGAGATGCACGTAAGAAATAAAGAGGAGGGTCCGTATGAGTATGAAAAGCTCACGGTACGAACGTGAGGTGCCGTGACTGTCACGGTGCCTATTTGAGCATTCTGATTGGATAAACAGTAACCTAGCGAACTGTGATCGTACCGTAAGCGTTTCTCATTTACATTGATCCCTGTAGTTCAATATTGTTGACTCTCGTTTTTTATGTATTAGTTTCTTTAGTTTCTTATAAGACCATTTGAAAATTACCTAAAAATCCCGTGAATATAGAATTTTTGAGGAGCATGTGACGTCATAACCGCCATTTTTGATGACGTACAAAAGACTTGCTTCCTATTGTCATGGCTGTCATGTCTTGTTCTTGTGAATGTGACGTCGTAGTTTGGTCTTGCTTTCTTTTGTCATGTTAACTAACATGGCCGCCAAGTCTTTCGCCCTTCTGCATGTGACGTCATAGCTGCCATATATGTTGGTTACATTCTTACTTTCTCAAAATATTCTCTCTATGTTAAGAAGAGATAACTAGCTAAAAACCTGTGTGAGCTTCGTCGGTGTTTCTAATGAAAAAGTAATGATAAAAAAGTAAATTATACACCGTGAAGAGATGAAAAAACGTACTGACGTTTCGGACGCTAGTCCTTCGTCGGAGTAAAAGAAGGACTAGCGTCCGAAACGTCAGTAATGTTTTTCATCTTTTCACGGTGTATAATTTACCTTTTTATCATTACTCTCTATTTTCGTATGTCTTATATGTTACTGGAGCTAATGACATCTACTCAAAAGCGTTGTCCTGTCACCGCGTTTTAAATAAGTGCCCAATCCTCATTCGGTTTCTGCCAACATTTTCTTTTCCTTTTCCTTGGGATCTTTAAAAACCAGCAATGCGCGGATTTTGCCTTGCGTATTTTCAAGTTTCAGTTACATTTATTAAAGGCGTTGGTTTTGTTTTTCCCCAACGAATTATGATTTATTAACCGAGCTTCCGAGAGCAAAACCCACCTTTAAGTTACAAATGCCTCATGACGAAATCTCGCTTATTCCTGTTCGTTCCCTTGAGGAAATCCTTCATCATTGTCCTCTACTTCACTCTGCTGTCTTCTTTGCCTGCTCCCATGTGATGTTTGGGCTCTTCAGGTCTGCCATGCGTGACTTCCTCCATGACTGTAGTGGGCTCCCGACCTTTCGCCTTCTTCCTTGAGGCTTCCATTCCATGAAATCTCGGAAACTAATACGTCATAATAGGTTGAAGTGAATCAGAGTCTTTAATAATTTCAATGCCAACCTACGTAATTTTAAATCAGTGACATTGTTTAAATAACAGTATATTATAATATCTGAAAGCATATAGTTTGAAAATTTCCTTCACTCATTACTCCAGGCAGCCAAAGTAGAAGGCAAAATCTTTCTCCCAGTGACCACAATGGACGGCAAAACCGTCAAGTACGAAGTGGACTCCTCAACGACATGCGAAGAACTTCTTCAACAGATACAAAAGAAAATCGGCTTGAAGAATGTCTTTGGATTCTCTGTCTTTGCCAAAGTTTTTGACGAGGTAATATTTTACATCACATACGTAAACCATCCTGGTAAGTTATGTCCACATATGTGCTCAACCCGAACAAAGTAATTTAGAAATCTAGCTTGGCAATTCAATTCAAGAGTAGCATGGGTGGCGTTCGCGGCTAATAACGTGTCGTCTTTCACCGCTGTGAGTCCAACGGGTCGGGTCGCTGGTTCGAGCCCTGCGGTCGCCACATGTGAATTGGGTTTTTCCGGGTTCTCCGGTTTCCTCCCTCCGTAAAAATCAACATGCTGAGCTGAGCGTTGTGTGCATAAAATATTAAATGTAGTGGTAGTGCGTGTGAGCGAAAAGTGTCCCCAATTAGTGAGAAAGCGCTAGAACGACTAGACACTTAAATAAAAGTGATTTATTTATTTATTCATTCGTATGTATAAGGTTCTTTGAAAGCCCAGGTCCAGACAATAGTGATATTATTCCCCTTTCCAGGGCTTTAATCGACTTTCTAAAGTTTTGTAATTGATCTACGGTATTTATTTAGGTGTTCAACTGGGGGTGTGGACAAGAGAGTGTGATGGACGTGATCTCGCTCTGTGAGCAATATGCACAGCACAAGGTAAATGTACAATCATCCATCATGATGAAAGCAGAATGTAGTGGATGATTCCATAATGATGATGATGATGATGATGATCGTAGGTTGATATTATCACATATTCCACTGACGGTCGCGAGTCGTGTAGTCACAATTGGTCTATTTTCATCAAAAGGTTTTACAATGTCATTTCCAATTCGTTCCGAAGTAAGATCCTAGCAAACAAAGAGCATTACATTACAATCACGACAAATATTAGCGAGCGAACAATGAAAAACTTACCAATTGATGGACGCACTATACACACACAAACACGTCGCAACCATCAAAACCAAAATAACCACGTGCACACAAAGCGACAGCAGTATTAGCCGGTTAGCGGACTTACACTTAACAACACGGTGGGAGAACATAAAAACTAGCTTGTTGAGGATATGACCTCAACAATAATGATGATGATGGTGGTGGTACGTAACCCGGTCGTAAATGTTAACAACCTTCCATCATGGAGATTAGATTACAGTCATTGTTAAAGAAGGTGGAAGATTTCTTGGTGATCATATGAGGATGATGATGACAAGTGTTGATCGATTGATGATGATGTCGATGCTGTTGTTGACGACGATGATGATTATGGCGTTGGTGATGATGATGGTGATGATAATGTTGTTTATGATGATGAACTTGTTTATGAAGATGGTGATGCTGTTGTTGTTGATGACAGAGATGATTATGGTGTTGGTGATAATGATGTTGTTAATTACGATTACGATAATGATGACTAATGAGCATAAGGACGATAATGTTGTTGATGTCTGTGATGATAAATGATAAATGATAAATGATAATGTAGTACTGATTTTGGTAATGATGATGACGATGATGATGATGGATGAAAATGATGATGATGACAAATTAAAGATAATACTATATAAACCTGATCATTCCAGAATCTCAAAATCGAAGCTATCGGAGGCAAGTGGGGCATCTTCATCCGTAAAGATCTCTTCCTTTCAAGCGCCAATCCCTCCAGTGACCCTGTGGAGACCGACCTGATCTATAACCAGGTGATTGGAGGCATCAGATTTGGCGAGTACGCCTGTGACACGGTGAGTACCAAGTGTCATTCCCTTGAGCATTACATCTTTGATTTTAACGTAAACAGAGAATAGACCTCTTTAGCATGTACTTTGGCAATTGCCAAATCGACTGGAGTTGTCGTTTCTGATATTTTTATCATTTCCAAATTATTTAGACCAATAGAAGACTTGAGAGATGAACGGGCATGATAGACATATACAGGGCTACATTTAGACCTTTATTACATTTAGCGATTTTTTTATTTCTTTTTTCCTTTCATACCACGTGTCATTTCCTATGGAGCATCCTTTCTTTGTTCACCGTTTGCGTATGAGAAGACCCATTAATATGGATACAACTCAAACAAAAATATCATCCTCAAGAGGATGACACGTGGCCCGAAATGGGAAAACATTACCCCCGAGCCATTACAGCTCACGGATTACAGCGGGACGCGCAAAAGCAATATTACTATGTATGCGCATACTACTATGCACGGGTTCTGTACGTTAAGCAGACACATTCCGATGCGAAGCTGGCTGGTTTTACCAAATAAGGCGTTCAAATGCTTGTTTTGCAGGGAAAAGCCCGTGCATAGAAGTATTCGAATACATTAAATGTGGTCATACTTTTGCGCAATGCGCTGTAAGAAGCCAAAACCAGGCGTCTCTTCTTCAGAATGAATATGTAGCTGTTCACTTGTGAGTAGAAATGAGGGCGGATTTTTCTCTGGAAGCTACGCGCCAACAATCATTATGCAAACAATTGGCGGTTGGCCATGATATATTGAAGAGCATAATATTTAAAATCGATTCGATACGTTCATTATAAATTATCGTTAACAATATCTTAAGTTCATATATTAGCTAGAAGTAACCAAAACATTTAGATTCTACACAAACGATATCTTACGAAGCAGAAAACATGAACTTACCTTCCAAACCGCTTCTTTCCGCCAATGTTGTTTGGAACCATTGCATTTGCGCGATCGTTCCCAGTCCCCACTCCGCATCATGCATCGGCCAAAGGAAATATTTGTTAGTTCTCTATTGTGCTTTGTGGATTTTTCTTCGGGTTTCCCAGTTTTCCTCCCACGCAAATATCAACTTCTAAATTCCAATCGAAATCCAGTGGAAGAAGATCCACTCTGTGGAACCAATGTTACTTGTTTTTTACGTGACGTCACGGCGGCCATGTTGGTGTACCAAAACGATACATTTTCTATCCTCCGGGAATTGAACTCTATTTTAATGCAAAAACTGCGCAGAAAGTTTATGATGTCTGGTATATAAACCAATATAGCTGCCTTGTCACGTTTGTGAAAACCGCTCTATGATTTATTTTTTTCCCTTGGATTTTGGTTTGGATTTCGAGTGGTCATACCGCTATTATCCATTACGCGGTATTCATCAGGGCTCGGTTGTATGAAGGGTGGATAGCGCTATCCGACGGATAAAACTTATTCAGTGGATAAATGTATCGGATAGCAGCATCGACTTATCCACTGGATAAGGATTTATATATACGCCAGATAGCGCTATCCAGGCTTCGTAGAACCGGGCCCAGGAACACAGCATACGATCAGTATTTTGGTAAAATTAATAATATCTTAATAATTTTCTTGATCATATCTTAGGATGTAGAGTTAGCAGATTTCTTGGCAAGAAAATATTACATCAACCATGGAAAGACTTTCAATGAAAATCTCGCAAGTCAATTGATCGAGCAGTCTCTACCAGAGAGCTTCCTGGAGACACACCGTAAACAGATGGAAATGATTGGTTTGATAAGAGATACTATCAACACGGTAGGTACCGGCTTTCTTGACAGTGGCTGTTGTTGCATGCTCCTGTTGTTGATGCTGTTGCTGCTGTTGTTGTTGATGCTGTTGCTGCTGTTGTTGTTGATGCCGTTGATGCTGCTGTTGTTGTTGTTGCTACTGTTATTGTTGTTACTGTTGTTGCTA